GGGCTAGCCTTCTGGAGGATGAGACCCAGTGAAGGAAAGTCTAGTTTTCCCAACTATTCCAGCCTATACCCAGCCAATCCCCCAAACATGTGAGAGAGCCTACCCAGGATCATCACAGTGTCTTACTTGACCTACGAAAGTAGGTCTGAAGACTGAAGACTCACAAATGAGCCCAGGTAAGACCAGGACTGCAGAGGTGACCCTTAGAGTCATGAGTAATAAATGCTTAATGTTTCAACCACTTAGTTTTGGAGTGATTTGACACTCAGAAATAGCTGATATGAGGGGGTGTAGAAATGGAGAGAGGCAAAAGGGACAAGGGTTCAACTGTACTTTTGATGTCTAGGTGTTAAAAAGAGAGAGACCTGAAGCAAATACAGCAAAATGCTAAGATTTAACAAAGACAGGTACTTAATATATGAGTATTTGTTTAGTTCTAACTTTTCTGTATGTTCAAAATAAAATTTCACAAAAGAACATTTAGATAGAAGAGTATGCAAATGTGCTACACCAGACAAGAGAGCCAAGATGAGTTTTATCACTTCCCCCTCCCCCCACACACAGACAAAGAGGGCTATATAGATTAGTAATGTCTTGAGTTCTAACCCTCTTCTTTCATTCTCTGGACACCTTCCCTGTACCTTCCTAGTGTTTAACCCCTTTGCCAGCATTTCATCCTCTGGCCTCAGTTTATCATCTGTAAGACGGGAAACATCTGATCAGCTCACTGATGGCGGAGTCACGAGATGAACCAGAGAAGCATTTTAGGGGTAGATTCTATACAGCGGCTATGGGGCTAGGAGACTTTAAATGTCAGAACTCCTTCATGCCATTGTTATGTACAAAATCCAGATTCACCTGGTGAAAATGTGAGTCCTTCCTGCTCCACTGAAATACAGGGTTAGTCATGTACCCTGTGACTTCCTGACACTCTATAACCTTCCTGTCCTTTGTATCTGAAGTTGCCCCTGCTGGCACAGCTGGCATTGTCTGTCTGCTCAGAGGACCTGTGCTTGACCTACTGAGAGTGACAAGGTTCTCAGAGGATACCTACTCAGTGCCCAAGAAAGGCAGACTAAGTGGGCTGCTCTCAAGGGCTCAACATCCCTCTTGGCCAAATGCATTGCTCATGTTTCTATTTTAACTTCTCCAGCACTCAATGTACACTTTATTTTGCACTGACTGTATTCCCTCACTATATGCTGCCTGGTACGGAGAGTCACGGTGTGTTCTCTTCCCAGCTCAATTAAGCTGTAAGCCCCTTGAGGACACGGTATTAGGATTCCTACTACCTAATGAAAAGAAGGAAGGAAAGGAGAAAGGTCAAACAGGAAGGAAGGTGAGACAGAAAGGAAGGAGGGAAGGAAGGATTATAGCAAATATTACTAGAATGACTATGTGCCAGGCAGTGTGCACTTTCTTATTTAATCCAACCACTCAATGAGGTGGATACTATTATTAATTTTTCCTAGCTTACAGATGAGAAACATGCTTAGGAGGGTTAGCTCATATGCCAAACGTGACAAGCCATAGCAACTAAATCAGGGAGGCAGCACTTGAACTGAGTTTAACACTAGGGACTGTGCTCCCCATTTCTGATGCTATACTGTTGCTCTGAGAGCTTTGAGCGCAGATTTTCTGGTAACAACTAGGAATTCATTATAAGGAAAGAAAAAGAGCATAGAAAGCGGGAAAATGAAAAAGGGAGAGCCTCCAGCACCTTCCCCTCCTGCAGATGTCATAGCTAGCCTGCGGCAGCAGATTCTGTTTAATTGCTAAACATCTCCAGAAAGGATCTGTTTGCTTCTTTGATATGTTTCAAGTTCCATTCTCCATGTGCCAAAGACATCCACAGATAGCTCTGTATACTCTCTCACCTGTGAGAGCAGAGAGACACACTGCTATGAACACTGAATTAGCAAATAGTGAACCACTGCTCCCAGGGCAACTACAGGGCTAGGTTCCTACAAGTCTCTCCTCACGTTTTTGTCAACAAACACGTAATCTTTTTTTTTTAAATGTGTGTTTCTGTTGAAAGATACCTTATTTAATATAAATCATTAATTCATTAACACTCATGACAGCTCTAAAATTCATGCCTGGACAAAGATTAACATACGTATTTTCTCCATTAGGCAAATCACAACGTTCTTGTGCTTAGGAACACCGGACAGCAGTTCAGTGGCACACTTGGTGGCCATTTAAACAAAGTCAACACAAAACACAGAAATAGGAAAAATGTGACTCTAAACAGACCGCGAGGACACTAGTTGACACTGTAAGAGTGGAAACCAGAAGGCAGATGTCACCTTGCTCTTCCCAGCTGGGAATGTGTATTTTGGTGACTCCAATTTTTATTGCTGAATGATGCCCAAGGGCGTCCATTTCATTCTCTGGCCGGTTACAGCAGTCACACAACTTGGATTTAATAAAAACTAGTGCTTTTGTAAATGCCTTCATTAACTTTCATTTACAAATGAATTTTACCAAGTAGGTGAATTCACAAGTATAAAATCCATGGTTTATGAGGACTGGTTATGTATGTTGTGAAATTCAGCCAAGTCTTAGGTTTGGATCCATCAGGAAAAGAGCACGGGAGACGTGGAGTGGGCGGTAACGACTGCCGCTGTTCCCGCGGGTAATCTCGCCAGGCGATCCATCCCTTCCTCTGCTTTCGTTGGGATCTTGGTCATTACGGCGGAGACTGTCAGGATTGCAAATCACAGGAAAGCTTGCCAAGTCTTCTCATTTAATCAAACAGTTCAAGTCCCATTGCCTTTGTATAGTCTTCTAGAGGCCGACACTTGCTCAGGATTGTGATTTCGTGTATGGAAGAAACTCAGTAACATTTGCCCTTCATTGAATGAGATTCTCAGATCAATCTGCCACTTAGGATGCCCTTGTTCCCACCCTCCCTTTGCAAAGTACTCTCATGTAAATATTTCTGTCTAAAGGTGTGGGTCCCAGCTTGGAGTTCTTGGAATTAGTGGTTCTGTAAGATGTCACTGTGCTGTTCAAACAACTTTCCCCAAAATACATTTCACTAGAATGAGACCTTACAGGTTAAATAAAATGGCAGGATTTTACTTTTACTTTCATAAATTTACCCAGAATTATACATGATTATTCTATGTGTTCTATGCAATAAAACTACAAAACTATGTATGGGAATTATGCAGTGATACTTCTATGTGCTAATACTATTGCTTGTTAATACTATTGCTCAGCTCCTCAGACATGACTTCAACAAAAAAAGATTTCAGATTACTGCTCAAATGATCACAATTGTTTGCAAGCATGTTTCACAGCATTTCAGAGCAGTATGGGGAAGGTAATGGAAAGGTTCTTGGATGGTTAAAAGATGGAAACCCACTGATAAATGGTTCTGAATACATGGTACTTTTAAAAGAAAGCGTTAAGTATTTTTTGGTATCTTGTAGTTGTGATTCTTACACTGCCATAACTTTCTGAGCAAAGCAGTCCAGTTTTATCTAAAGGTGAAACGAAATAATGGAAAAGCAACCATTTTTACCAAAACCTGAAAAATAGCCCTGAGGCTTCTGTTCTTTCAACACAGCTCTGCTGTTCTCCTTAGGGCTTCTAGAGCAGGAAAGTTCCTGTGAATTCATCTCTTTCTTGTGGAACTTATTGTTTTGAGAAGTAGCCAGGACCCAATTGAGGTGACAGACATGGTAGTGTGTGTACTATGCCAGTAAGACACCTGCCAACCGCTGGGCAAGCAATGTGTTTCTGTTCAAATTCTTTTTCGTGCATTTCTTCCATTCTGGTCAGTGTCATCCTGAGAACAGCTGGTGCCACACTTCATGATCAGTGGCATGGGAATAGCCCTGCTTAGTTCTGTGCTTTTAAAACAGAGAGGGAAGGGAGGGAAGCAGTCCAGGATGGAGACCTCAGGCTCAGTGTGCCTGCCTGACTTCCAGAACAGGTTTTTAAGGCCTTGAGGAGGAAGACTTGACTTTTACACAAACAGTACTTCACACTCACTGGAATCTTCCCCACCCATGTCCGTGCTAAGGCACGTGGGGCCAGCTTCTCACAGCTTCCTGGTCATTGGTCAGTGCCTCCCTGCACTTTTCTGCTCCTATGTGTACCTTATGCTTCTAGTCTCAGCCTGCTAAGGCACCTTCTTCACATGACTCATGAGGGGCCTCAAACCATGTCCCTCTAGAACACTCAGAAGGTCCTCACCTCATCCATCTGGTCCAAATACAACACTCCAGACTTCCTCACCCCTGCTTCATTGAACACCCCACCACTGCATCACATACAATCAGTACTTTAAATTTCGTTTTTGTTATTAGCTTTTATGTATTTGGTGTTTTCCTATCAGTGGTATGTAACATTACAAACATGTTTCCTGTCTTACCACTTCTGTATACCTCCTAACACAGTACCATGTGAAGAATGGATACTTAATAAACTTATCTGACTTTATAGGCGAATAGTACCTTTACATTGTCCTGGAGTGAAAGCCACTTTACAGACCACTTGGTAAGACATCCTTGAGGTGATGGTGGTGGGCAGGAGAGTCCAACAGGCTTCCGTGATGGAGCCCTTCCTCCTCTGCCTGACCCCGGCCGCACCCTTGTGCTGTCCGCTGTATTTAGCTGAGTTCCACATATTGTGTTGGCAGGTTCTCCATTCCTGTTTTTGAATGCCTTGTTGATCCCTCTACACTGCCTCCCACTCCCCTTTCACATTATGAACTAAAAGTCTGATGGTGCTTTACATGTTTTCTACCTCCATCTACCCTGCTTTGCATGAGAATCTGTCTCAGTAACAATGATGCTTTGAAGGCCATTTCTCACTTTAGAGGCAGAATACCTACCTTCTTTTTGGTGGGATCACCAGGTTCCCTGGAAAATGATTTGAAAAAGTGTTAGTGTGTAGTGGACAGTCTGGAGTGGGTGCTCTCCTTAGTGTTGTTACCAGGATAATACTTAAGTAGTTTCCTTGAGTAAAAATCATGACACATTCTGTTATCAGAAAGCATTTTTTATGTCAACAGAGTTTCTCTAAGTTAGTAAATATAGGCATACTAATACAGCGCTTTTTATTTCCTGGAATCAAGATATACCATCTCAGCATGTCAGAGGTCCACCATTTCACCCACGGCCAATTATACAACATACAACTTCAGTTTCATGAAACTGTAGCTTTTGTAAATGCCTTTGTTCAACATAGTCACTACTCTAGCCAGTGTTACAGATGGGATAAAGAGGTGACATGCCGCATCTAAGAAAGTTCTGCAACAGAAGACAATGGAAAAGGAGATGAAACAGAACAGAGACAGAAATGGCGACATAGTTTATCAATGAAGAAATGCCAGAAGAAGAAAGAAGCTGAGAATACAGGAAGCAGGATGGAGGATTAACCTCACTGGGTGATTGTCCCAGTGTTGATGAGCAATCAAATACTGCCAGATGCTGGTCTAGACTAACCTTCCACTGGGCTTGCAAATAGGCACACGATCTTCCCAGCTCATGAAATGCAGTTAAGGACACGGGCAAAGCCAAATAGGGAAGATGAGACAGAGGCAAATAATCCAATCTTTTTCTAACTCTTAGCTTATAAAACCTTAGAAAAAATACATTAAAAGCAAGCTTCTGAAACAGGAGAATTTAAAAGATTAAGCACATTTGTCTCACATATTTGTATCTCTACAAAAAGATTTTCTCAAGAAATTCATACTTGCCATGTAAATTTCAGTGTTTTAAATTTTCACTTGGCAAATTAGGTAGAGGGAGATTTTGTGTGTGCGCTGATGATATATGATTGAAGCCTCCTGGAAAAGTCGAGTGTCTCCACGTGAACCACCTCTTATATCAAGTGTCTATGTATGACATATAGGAAGTTTTAACTAATATTATAAAAGTAACAGAAGTAACAACTAATATTCACAGATAGGACCTAACAGTAAAAAAACACAGTTCCATAAAGAAGCTTTATGAATAAAGGTACAAGGGGCTGATCACTAGTCTGTGTAGTACACAACCTTTGGGAAAGCCTGACAGATGTCTATCAGGATCTGGTCTGTGGCCTGGGTTGCAAGTTCTCTTTCTGGGCCTCTTTTGCCTGACAGAAATCCTGGCACACAAGTCCCTGGGGAAGCCGGCAATACCCCTTCTGCCAGTGTTGTCCATCCGGGAAGGGTTTAGTGCTTGGACGTCAGAGTAAGTGTTGATGATACCCGGAAGATCTGGGGAAGCATGTTACTGAGTTGATAAAACATTTCTTCAGAAATACTCTGTAAGAAGTAAAAAAAAAAGTGCAATTTGTTAACTTTTTAACTAAAAATCATCACTGATTTTTAAAATTTTGAAGTAATTTAAAATACGAACTAGTTCTAGATATGGAGTGTAATGTGTGAAAACTATCTTTTATAATAAGTATATATAAATATATTTAAAAATGAATAATTATATATACCATAGATAAATATACATAATTAATAACTTTCATACTGAGTTAATTGCATGGCTATGGGCAATGCTTTTTTGACTCTATCCTCTGAGACCCTATATTCTTTCTGTCAAATAATAAATTTGATTACCAGGAAAACCCCTAGGTAACCCTACCATAATTAAGTAATAAAAGTACCACTAATTTTGCTAAGTTCTCTATAAAATACAGAATCATTCTCTGCCAATGCCCTTCTTTATGAACTCTTAAAAAAAAAAATGTAACATAAATGTGGAAAAAAACCCAAAGGACACATGAGTCAAGTTTGGTTTTGGGGTTAAGCAAATAAAAGATCTCTTAAGTGGTGGACATCTTTGACAATAAATTGAATACCTTAATAGCATCCAAACACTTTTCTCCTTAAAAAATAGGAAGCTATTAGCATCTGTTATTTTGTACTGAGTTTATTCAGCATGCCTAGCTGTATCTGTAAGGATATCATAAGAGATTAATTGGAGTGAGATGTATTCAGGCAACATACCTGTGGAACCAGAAATTGCACTGTCCTAGAAATTCCCCCATCCCACGAAGCCATTTCCATCATGAAACCTAAAACAGAACACACTTTGCTGAATTATGAGTTTTGTTTTTAGACCTACCTGTCCCTTACTAAGATAAACTGAATTTTCATTGTGGGGCCTCATGTCTTGACTTTTGAGGTAGCCACTTGCCTGCAGGAGGGCAGCTAAGCCTAAAGGGCAGATGGGCTTCCGCAACCCTTAATCCTCCATGCCAAAGAGGTTTAACATGAGTTTGTCAACACATTCTTACTTAGAATTCCTCAAGCCTATTTAGTCTCTATACAATGCAGCTAAAGCAGGTTATTAAAGGTTAATTAAACATGTGGCTCTATTATTTTTCTTTTTAAGAAAATAAAAAGCAGAAAAAAGTTATCAGGGCACAAAATATAAGTAACATTAAAATATTCTTGTATTTAAAGTGTGCTGGAGATTTTGTTCTGTTTTGTTTTTTTGACTGGAAAAAATAAGTAAAGCCCATCATAAAATATTTGCTTGTTAAACTGAGGCACCAGATGACAGAGGTAACTTCCCCATTCTGCCGGGTTGCTCTACTTTCAATATTTGGGAGCGAGGAAATACAGGTTGTGTTGTTACATGTAAGATTATGTTCACCTTTGACACACTTAAATACAAGTTCTGCTCTCCTTAAGCACCACGGTATAGTCATTTCCTAAAAACAGAAGCAAACAAAGTCATGCATTTTTAAAAGAACTTTGTAGAAAAATTTACATTCAGATCTTAATCCATCTATAATGTTGACCATCCACTATGCAAACTGATTCAGACAACTACTTGATAACTTCAGCTGGGTTTCATCTGGTTTTTAGATATATAACTTCTAGCTGTTTGACTATACTTGTGGAAATGCAAACTAACTGAATTGGCCTAGTAAATATAATTTTTAAAATAAACATACCTTTAAAACTTTCAAAGATAATTAATTCTAAAGACAAATGTGATATATAAACTCTACCTACTACACCCAATGTTAGCATGAATAACTCTATTAAACTATGTATTATTTGAATAAGTAATACATTAAAATGTTTTTACTGTATAACATGTTGTTACAAAAGTAACAGAAATAAACACCCCATCCCAGCCATCCAACAAACTACATGCATTCATTTTTCTATGTAGCTTTCTAATAATTTGTCACATATTAACATGAATGCCAGTGTTAGACAATGATCAACCCATTGATAATTTTCAACAGTTATGGTCAGTAACTATATTAGTTTAAATTCTACTTATCTTCACTATCATCAGAATTACTTCCCCACGTTACAAGTTTTCATAATAACAAAATGTTTATTATTTCATTATAGTAATTATCAATCTTTTTTGGTTTTGGGATCTTTTATACTCATAAAAATCACTGAGGAGGACTCCAATGACCTTATGTTTATTGGGTTATATCTCTTGATATTTATTGCATTAGAAATTAAAACAGAAAAACTTGAAAATATTAATTCCATTTAAAAACAATGATGGTAAATGCATTACATGTTTACATATTTTTTTATGTAAACTATATTTTCCAAAAAAGAAAAATTTTTAGTTAGAGAGTGGTGATGTTTTACATATCTGCAAATCTCAATTCCTGGTTTAACAGAAAAGATCTGGATTCTCCTATCTGCTTCTGCATTTAATCTGTGTGTTATATCATGCAGTATATAGCCTTTGAAAAAACTCACTGATGCTCATGAGAAATAAGAATGGAAAAGGCAAATAATGCCACTGATCATGAAAATATTTTAAATCTTCTGGACCCCCTTAGAAGGGGCTAGGATCCTGGGAGGAATCTTCAGAACACAATTTAAAAACTGTTCTATTCAGTTACTGTATCATAATTTATTGAAACAGCCCCTTATAGTTCGATTTCCACTTGTTTCTGATAACATTGCAGTGGACATATTTATGTACATGTATGTATGTGTATGTGTGCATATACATTACTGTTTTTTAATAATTTCTTGTGATATTTATATAGCTTAATGAAATGAAATTAGGTTCTTCCCCAAAAGGTTATATTAATTTACACTAGCCATTAGCAATGTATGCATCATCAATGGCACTGTATGTTCACCAGCAATTGGACATTTAAATATTAATATATTATTTAAAATTTTTATTAGTTTAGTAGATCCAAAATGGTATCCCTCTGATGGCTTTTTAAAAATAGAGTATTTTTTGAAACAACTTTAGGTTTACAGAAAAGTTGTGGAAATGGTACAGTGCCCAAATTCTCCCTCTGTCACTCAATTTCCCCTAATACTAACATCTTACATTAACTACACAGTACTAAAATGAAGTGTCTATGCACCTGTCAAAAATAAAGACAATGGACTGTATCAAACAGCAGGGAAAATTCTTAGCAATTTCAATGCACTTTGGGTTTTCAGTGATACATATATATTTCAAGCAATAGCAGACAAAAACTGAATTATATTCTACACTGTAAAATCACAACTGTAGAAGCACAGGAATTTTGATGACACTAAGGTGAAATAACCAAAACACACGGCACACGTCCAGAAGGCCCCTTTTTAACAACTGATAGGAGCTTTTAATGAAAGAAGCTGTAACTTAGTTTTGAAAATGTTTCCCACCAAAGAAGGGCTTTCTCCCCTAGCATTAAGGAGCTGGACCAATTAGAAGCTGTAGAAAGGCGGCAGCTGTAGAATTTGATCTTTCAAGTACCCCATATACCTGTTGAACTTAATCACAATACAACCAAATTGCCACGACCTCACTAATTTCTATTTGCTGTCAGTTAAAAATTAAACCCCTGAATAAATTTTTGTTCTCTCTCCTGGGTGCATTATGTTTTCTAACTGCAGTGCAATAAACAAATTAAATGCATTTAATAACAGGCCCCCCCACCGCTACTGACACATTGATCAAAATCCAGTTTATGCAGATTTCCTTAGTTTTTAACCTAATAACATTTACTGTTCCAGGATCATATCGAGGATACACTATATTGAGTCATTACGTCCCCTTAGACTTGTGACTTTCTCAGACTTTCCTTTTTTTGATGACTGAGAGTTTCAGGGAGCCCTGGTCAATGCCTTCTATTGGAGCTTGTCTGATGTTCCTCTCATTAGCCTGGAGCCTATGGGTTTTGGGGAGGAAGACTGCAGAGGTCAAGTGCCATTCTCATCACCTCTTATCAAGGGTATGTATTATCAGTGTGACTTGCACCTTAATATTGACCGGGATCAGCTGGCTGAGGCAGTTTTTCTGGCTTCTCCACTGTGAAGTTATCCACCAGCCTTTCCACACTGTACTCTGTTAAGAAGTCACTCACGAGGAGCAGCACACACTTAGGAGGTGGAGACTTGCTCTCCTAGAGGATGAAGTATCTACATAAATTATTTAGCATTCGTCTGCATTGTTTCTTCTGCCCTATTTATTCAATACTGTTTACATCAGCATAGACTCATGGATTTTTGCTTTACATGCTGGGTTACAATTCAGTGATTATTTCCTCAGTCTCATTCTAACTGACCTTAACGGCATACTTCCCATTGGTGACTTCCCTTGTCTCACGAACCTGCCCGCCTGCCTAGGGGGTGGTGCGTCACCGGAGTCTGTTCGCTCCACACCTGACTCTGAGTGCATTGTGGCCTCGTGCCTGGAACTGCTGGACTCCGGTTTCCTTGGCTCCAATATCGGCCCTTCACACCATATTTGGCTAATTTATCGTAAGTCCATTTCTGATGATACACTCCTGTTTAATAACTTACCACTGCTTCCTATTGTCTCATGAATAATCTAAGACTTTCTTTTACTAGTTAGGGATATTTACATTAGGGCCAAAACTACCTCAGCTTCCACGACTTTAAGTTAAAAAAACGAAGGTTTCACTTAAGTGTATCTGCCCACCTTTGCCTGCCCAGATCTGCAGTGCCTGTCCCCCACCTCCTGTTCTTCCTCAAGCCGTGTCTTCTGCCCATCAACACCCTCTCCACTATTTCCATCTATCGAAACCCCATCTTCATTCTTCAGTGTCCAGTTTAATTGCCATCTCCTTCACACAGCAGTCTCTGCTTCCCCATCTACAAATGATGTCTCTATGCTCTCAGCTCCCAAAGTACTTCTTTTATCTCAGTGATCACACTGTACTCTCTTCTTTATTTTTGAGTGGCATTTAAGGGGTAAAGGAATAGGCAGGGAGGTGGGATTATAGGTTTTTTTCCTTCATTGTGTGTTCTCTGAGGGCAAGAACCACTTTTTATTCACCTTTATTACTTTTACAATGACTTCTACAATACTGAGCATACAGATGCTCAAAAATATAAGTTGAGTGATAATTTTTAATCCATGGAAATTTAAAAGAAAATGATTTTCTCCTTTGCCAAAAATGGGCTTAGACAGTAAACCACTTTTTTTGTCCAAGACATTTTAAGATTGGTAATTAATTAAAAGGAGTCTAGTTGCTAAGAGAGTTAAGAAGTAAAGAACTCTCTTTCTAACGCTCTGGAAGCTTATAAAAATGACCAGAATTTTCTGATGTTTAACTTTAAATTATGTTTATAACACTTCTCAGCTTCAAAGTTCACAGAAAGGAAGGGCATTTCCTTTTAACTGGGAAGAGCCACAGTGCCTTATGTGAGGTACAGACACGCATGGTATGAAAAATTTTTGTCTTTCGGTTTGTTTCTCCCTAGTTAAAAACATTATGTACAGAGGGAGCATGGTGACTAACAAAAATCAACAGCTAAGAGGAAATGCTGATAGCTCAGAAAGCTACGATAATAATGTTTTACGTTTACATGAAACTTTACAATCTACATAATTTGATCACAAAAACCACATTTATAAATTCAAAAAGGACACTGAGAAAGCTACAGTGACTCACTCAAAGCCTTGTGGCTGTCTGAGACTTGCATTTTCATTCTCTGAACAGTACCTTTTGATTAGCAAAGGTTTTAAATGTTAATCAAGTACAATTAAGTTTTTTCTTTTATGACTTATGTCTTTTGTGTCCTAACAAATCTTTGCTTAACCTGATATCATCAAGATTTTCTTTTGTTTTCCTCTAGAAGTTTTATCATATTAGCCTTTTTGGTTTAGGTCTATGATCTATTTTAATTTTTATGTATGTGAGGTAAAAGTCAAGGTTATTTTTGCTATAGGAATATCCAGTTCTTACACCACCACTGGTTCAAAACACTACCTTCCTCCCATTGACTTGCCCTGGCATCTTTGCTGGAAATCAAAATGACCACATATGCATGGACTTATTTCTGGATTCTCTATTCTGTTCATTTGAGTCATAGTCTATTATTTGCCAGTAACACATTGTATTGGGTACCGTGGCTTTACAGTTAAGTCTTAAGATCAGTTGGTGTAAGTCACTCAACTTTGTTCTTGGTCAAAATTGTTTTGGCTGTTTCAGGTCCTGTGCATTTCATATAAATTTTAAAGTGAGCTCTTCAGCATCTTCAGAATTGCCTTGTAAGGATTTTGATTGGGATTTAAACCCATAGGTTGCCATGAGAACTGATAAGGGCGAGTCTTCCAACCCATGAACACAGTGTATCTATCCATTTATTTCGGTCTTTTAAAATTTCTTTTGTCAACTAAAAACTCAGTTTTGTAGTTGTCACATAATTTTTCATAGCATTTTTTACTTGAAGGCATTTTAGGCTTGTTTTCAAGTTCTTTAAACACAGTAACCAACTATACTACAGATGGTGTCTCATAAGCCCACACTGCCTCATGTCTTTGTGCGTCTGTTTTTATCTTTTGGTTGTTCCTGCTGGTTCACTTTCGTGGAGCGTTTCATTTCCTCAAAGGACTACTTACACTTCACTCATGTTACACATTTTATTGAAGGATTGACTACATGTAGGGGTAAATGCTAAAGTGTAACTGAATATTTGTATCACCTTAAAATATTGACTCTGAAACATGACATTCTTCAAAATACTATGGAAATAATCAGCATCAAGGAATTATTACTATTTATACTGCTATAATAGAGCACTCATTTTTATGTATAAAAAAGCATTATCTGACAGTAGCTTGTCTTATAACCTATAATTTATTGACATCTATGATTAGCCTTTGAATTATCTCAGGCTGGTAAGGTCAAGCCTCACAGCTACTCACATGAGGACAACCAATGTGAATTGTAAGCACAGAGGCACTGAATAGCTAGCCTCAAACACCAGCATACAGAATATATATTGCCCCAGTATATTAAAATCAGGATAATAATAATAATGAAAGACTGAAGCATAGGTTACAGTAGGGATGGCTCTAACGGTTTGGCCAAAAGTAGATGGGAAAAGTTGATAAAGTCCTTTCAGTGCCCCACTTCATCACCTTTTACCCACTAATACCATGTGTTCTTGCGTTTTGTACATGTGCGGTTAATAGCATGGTCTACAGAAAATGTCTATGAGACAAATTAAGAACTTCATGCTCCTCAGAATGACATGAATTCATGACAAAGTGTCACTGGTGCTATGTAGAGAACACACCAGAACACCGATTCATGCCAGGATCCCAGGAAAACTTTAACATGATAGACAACTTAATTTTCAGATGACATAAACCCTTATATTCTATTTACTTTATTTACTTCTTGCTGCTTAGCAGCATATGAATCTGAAAGGAAATGCTAGACAGTTGCACACACGTGTGCACAAACACATCCAAGCTGTTTCTAATCTCCCATTTGCCTACATGGGGACTCTGTCCCAGGCATCCCTGTCATTTTTTCTCTGATTAAAACCAGCTCCTAAAAAGAATGGCTTTGCGTTACTGGAAAAGGTAAACTATAGCTTAGAAACTGATAAAGTCAGGAGAAGACATAACATATGGGATGTGGCCTGCAGTCTCACAAGGAGCTCTCTTCTGGAAAGAAATCTCAGTATATGTTATACAGTGAATGGGGTCAGTATATGTTATACAGTGAATAGTAAATACAGCATAATGGGTCAGGCCACAGTACAGAAAGGCACTGGCTGTTGAGTTCTAAGTAATGGCAAAGCGAGTGTATCTTACTGTCACGCCAGTGAGAACACGCTGTGAAAGAAATCCACTGAAGAAACTGAATGGATCACATGAAACACTTCAGACTTTGCACATGAAGCAGAAAACTGGGCCCTATGGCTATACTTTAGATGGTCAGAGGGCACAGCACAGAGAGTAACTTCTAAACCTGTGAAACTGAGATGAAAATGTCCGGCTGAGTCTAACTGCAGACCACACCCTCTATCTAAAGTAAATGCCATACTTTAACCATGCAACTTGAATTTTTGATTAGGGTAAGCTTGCACTGCAGAGGTGATTAAGATTTAGTTGGTATATACTTTTAGGTCTTCACTGTATGTCTTAAAAGTTACATATCAGACTTATTTTCTTAGTTTATATACCCATGTGGGAAACTGACTATTCTTTACTTTCAGGTATGTGCCTCTGAAGTACCTGAATTCTTGTATTATTCAGTTTCACAGCTATTATCAGAAGGTGAGGAATAGCCTGGCTTTCTTTTTTTTCACATTCAAAAACAAGGGGTTAGGTGCAACCACTTTGGGGAAATAATCCAGCTGTATCTACCAAAGCTAAACATATGCATGCATACATATCAAACACCTAACACTTCCATCCCTAACTAAACACCCAACAGAAGTGTCAAGATACATGTGCTAATATGTTCACAGCAACATTAGTCATTACCAAAACCTGAAAACTACCCAAATGTCCTTAAATAGTATAATGGTTAAATGTGGCCTAGTCACAATGGAGTAATACCTAACAATGAGAATGCACGACCAATATATAACCACAGCAATAATGTGGATAAATTTCACAAATATAATATTGAGTGAAAGAAGCCAGATATAGGAGCATATTCTATATGATTCCACTTACATAAACTACAAAAACAAACAACTAACTAATTTATGATTTTCAGAGTGATAATCGTGGCTACCCTTGTGGAGGAGGTAAGGTTTAAGTGACTGGAAGGGATTGTGAGGGTGGTGGCTTTCTGGGGCGTTGGCAATGCTATGATTTGTTCTGTCTACTGGTTACATGGGTGCTCAGGTTCCAAAAATTTGAGCTACATACTTATGATATGTATGCTTTTCTACATGTGTATTATATTCTAAAAAAATTTAAAAATAAAATTTAACATCCTCATCAGCCACAACAATTACAATAACTAAACCCCCTTAGACCCAAATTATTCATCAAGTTAATAGTAAAAATAAAAGGAAGTCAAGAACTGATTCTTGACTTGCAGGTTTATTCTACATCCATCAGGTTAGATGACCCCAATATGACAGTATCTTCAGATCATAAAGACTATAGAGATAAAACTGGTAATATCAGTCTTTCTTCAGCTCTTTTTATCTACCATAGGATACAGGCTGTTTCAGACATTATCATCATTACACCTTGAACATACTAAAATGTGGTAACTGAGTGTCTAGCAATTCTGTTTGTAACCGGAAGAAAACAACACCTGAAAATGCTTGGGATCTCTGCATCAGAGTTAAACAAATATTACCTCTATATCCTGTGTAGAGTTGTCTGAGTTTGGAGAATAAACTTCTTGACCTGAATGGATGTTTAAATACAACAAATGGGAGGATCACCACTCAATATACTTTCGTGAATTGAAATGAACACTTAGAAAAAAACTTAATGTCCTGCAGCTGGCTGTCCCAATTTAAAACATGTAACTTTTGTAACATTGTGGGAGAGGGAATGCTAGTAGTATCAGATGTCTAGAAATAAATCCAAACTTAGTGACTTTCGGAAACACTGTTTTTGAGGTTGTTTCCCACCTACATATAACCATTTTTATAAACTGGTTAACCAGGAGTCCAGCTGCAGGAATGTTTGGATGTTTCCTTGTGGCTGGAATTCATCAAAAACTTTTCTTCATTACTCCCCAAAGACTCTTTTATAGAGGGACTAGTTAGTGATAAGTTAACAATGGGTAACATTCCTGATGGAACTAAAACTTTATAAAGCTATGGTGAAGAAAGAAAAACATGTTTGCCAATCTCTTCTGATACCATAATAGGTATGACTGAGGGCACTGCAGTGAATGAAATGAGATTATCAGGGAGTCTGACGCAGCTTTCAGAAGATGGAGCCAGAATTCTTCTACAAAACAATGAATGTGTCTGGTGGAAATAAAATAGGTAACTGGGAAATCATTTAAAATAAACTTGTCTTATGTAAAACTAATTTTCTGTGTATATATTGTACTTAAAATGAGACCTCATCATATAATGAGTCTAAGTGAGACTCAGGCACACTAAAGAGTAAAGTGTGACAATTTTTACACTGCAACGAATACAGATGGTCCCCATCTTAGGATGGTTCAACTTTCTGGACTTTATGAAGGTACAAAAGTACTACTCATTTAGTATGAACCGCACCCTGAATTCCGAATTCTGATCTTTTCTGAGCTAGCAATCGGCCATATGGTGCTCGCTAGTGATGCTGGGTGGGGCAGTGAGCCTCCCCTCTCAGTCAGCCACACGATGATGAGGGTAAACAGCCTCATGGACAACAGTTCTTACCCACTCACCCACTCTGTTGTTCACCTTCCAAACAGTATTGAATACATCACATGAGATATTCAGACTTTATTATACCATAGGCATTGTGTTAGGTGATTTTGCCCAACTGTAGGGTAATGTAAGTGTCCTGAGCATGTTTAAGGTAGGCTAGGCTAAGCTATGGTGTTGGGTAGGATAGGTATATACCACTAAATTCATTTTTGACTCACAATATTTCCACTTAACAATGAGTTTTTCAGGACGTAATCCCATTGTTAAGTCAAAGAAGATCTGTTTAGCATTTACACACATCTTTTATTTTGTTAAATAACTTTTGGTAATCAGTGATCAAAATTCCTTCCTGACACTCACAGTCTGCACTTAACCAGTTAGCCATTTTGCATTCTAAAAAATGCCACCTCAAAGTAAGCAGACACTAAATTGCTGATACAGATTCCCCATCACCAGGTTGACCACTGGCTCTCCCAGAAGAATTTATCTGTACCCCTTTGTTTTGAGATTGTTTTGCTCCCAATAAAAAGAATGTTTATACCACACTTTAACTGTAGAAGCTAATACCTGTATTATCCAAGGAGAAGCCTTGAGAAAATGTTAAAATGAGGCTGGTTTCTATCTGTAATCTAGCATCCCTTTCCATTGCCTATTCATACATACTCAGAGAATACAAACAAATTTTAATGTTAGCCTAAGCCAAATATAAATGTGGAGGTAAATCTTACACTACTTAAGACAAAAATGTAGGAAGATGAGGAGGAAGGAGGGGAGGGTGAGAAGGGAAACATGCCTTATCCCAAACTAAAGATAATCATGATTTCTAATTCACCAACTATAAATTCTCTGAACATAAATGGTTAAGGATTATTCACTGTTTTCTGTTACATATCACTCAATTCTGTAAACCAGATAAAAGATGCAAAGGTCCATTAGTTAAAAATAAAGTGCTTTTAAAGTGTAAAGTGGATTGTAATTATTATACAGTATTGAAGGTTAACATTTTCATACAATTTTGGTACTTTTCTATCTGCTTACCTCTGACATATCATGCACCAGCAAGAGAGGAAGGCTTATTGTTGTGATGTCATGGGTACAGCAAACCTTGAGTATATTTCGGAGCCCCATAATGGCAGGATCACGAGCAGTGATGTTTCCTGACTTCACATTGTCATCCACACAAAGATGGAAAGCAACATGTATTTCTGAGAGATTAGAATGCCGTGTGATGTAAAATTCTCCTGTGAACAACAAACGCAATCCTGAATTCCAAATGCATAAATCACTCATCAATGGACTTTAGTGAATGTAAATGGCAGTCAATGTGTTGAACTAGTAGTGGTATACCAGGAACGTATGCCGGGCTCAAGAAGCAAATGTGATTACTGTGCCTCAATGCTTGGAAAGAAGGTAATGAAAAAGAGACAACAGTCAATTTTGCATTAGGTTTGTAAACTGGTATGAAGTGACTACCAAATAGGAAGTAAATCGAATGAGGACTCATCATCTCTATTTTGTTTCCCTAATGTTTAAAAAAATTTTGTTGTATACTGAGGTACACACAATAAAATGCACAAATCTTAGTGTAGACAGTGATGAATTTTGATATGTGTATACACTTATGTATCCACTGCCCAGATCTACTTTGATGTAAATGCTCAAAATGTCCTACTTTTCATTCAAACTTAACAAATAAGGCTATTTGATTACCTGTCATTCTCACACCCTAAATCTGCCTTCTTCTCAATTTCTGTGTTCAGACTCCTTCCAGTTCATCATCCAGGACAGAAACATAGAAATTGCCCTTAGTTTCTTTCTCTCAATGCTTCTTCCCAGGCTACAATCTGATTCACCACCAACTATTTTCAGTAATAGCTCCAATATCTCCACTTTGAGCATTCTACTTTTACTGCATCCCCTTATTTCATGCTATTGTCATCTCTCATCTAGGTTTTTGTAACAGCCTCTTCATTATTCTCTCTGTTCCCATTCTTGCCCACCTACAAGCTATTCCCACATTTGCAGCCAAAATGATTTGAATATAAATCAGATTATATCACTCCCCTACTTAAATTGTTCAACAGGCTTATGTTACATTCAGAAAAAAAATCCAAACACTTTACTATGGTCCTGCAAGGCCTATTATACCTGGACAGTGCCCATCTGTCTGATATCCTCTTGTCTCACCCTCTCTCCTTCTTCTGCTAAGTTCTTCAAACATGCAGAGCCTGTTTCCAATTCAGGGCTACTTCATGGAAGGTTTTCCCCAATATTCTCATCTAGCTGACTTCTTTTCATTAATCATGTCTCACATCAAAGGTCACCTCCTCAGACTGCCCCATCTGACATAAGACTCCCTCACCCCTCACTTAATTCTCATTCTCATTTTTCTGCTTTCTTTTCAGCACTGAAATTCTTATATTTATGAGATTATTATAAAGTGTTTATATTTCATGACTATAGGCATTTTGTCTATCTTGCTTAAAGTTCTCTTTAGCACATAGAATAGTACCTGGTAGAGAGAACGTACTCAGTCAATATTTGCTGAATGAGTGGATGAACAAATGTTTTAGACTGAGTGCAGCAGCATCAGTCTAATTTATCAGATCTTAAAATCCATGCTTGCTATAATCACTCCATTTTCTATGTAGGCACACTAGCTATCAGCTGGTACATTCTGCAGTTTCTGTTGATATAATTAAATACAATATAAAATACGTAAAGAATATATTTTTACAAATACACCTGCCTCGCTGGAAATTCTGCTCTGTCCTTCTAACTACTCAGCACTAACACCTGCCCTCACAAATTCTGCTCTTCCTTTCTTCAAAGTCATTATCTTAGGATTTTACTTATATTTACTTATAAATATACAGTATATTTAAAAGTACTTAATATCCTTTAGCACAATGTTCAATCATTTCTAGTAACCAGTGTACATAGGTTGCACCCATGGATGTCACTGACAAGCCCCAGGCGAAGGTCTTTTTTTTAACTTAAAAGAATTAGATAAGCAGAAAAAAAAAACACTAAAGGACAGTTACAGATATTAAAATAAACTCGACAAAGAAAAAGTAAGAAGGAAATTGGTGAGGAATAGTAGTTACAACTTCCCTAGAAGGCAATAAAAGACACAGGCTGTTTATCAGAAACCTGGTAGACTAAATGAGACAGTATCTTCTGGGCCCAGTGAAGTGTAGTACATTCCATACTCCTACTGATAATTTAGATGATGGCAGCCCCAGCATTATATATGGGCAATGGTCCAGCAGGGAGACAGATGACTTAGTGAACAAGTCAGGTGATCCTAATCCCTAAGCTGGCACTGCTTTGTTTGACCTTAGATGACTTGTCTCCTGGCCTCATTTTACCCATTAGTAAAATGGGGGTCATGTATCTGGCTGTAGCAATCAAAGTAATGTGATAAAATAGTAAAAGGACTAGATTGGGTGTTAAGAAAATCTGGTCTCTATAATTTATTGGCTGAGTGATCCTGCACAAAAAAATCAACTTTTAGGTCCTCTGTACTTCATTTCATGTACATGTTGGGAAAAATAATGCCACCTTACAAAGTTCTGTGAGAATTAGATGACAGAGCCTGTAAATACTTAAATAACGACAAGAAATTTAAATAAAACTATTTTTCTTTGCAACTAAAGAATTTTTAAAAATTTGTGATTTGGATCTTTTTTCATCTCCTGTAAAGTTCCTGGCTGTGTAGGTGCCCGTTAAGTGGAAATTCATATGCTAACTGAATAGTTTAATACTCCTTTTCAAATGCAGACACATGATACTGTCTTATTTGGTGTTAGTAATGCAACACTAACCTATAGGATTTTTCAAAAAAGGAGTGAGGAAGGAAATAAATATAGCAATAAAAGGTTCAGCTTAAAAAAATAATCAGACATTGCTACCTCTAGAATAGATAATAAGATTGGCACATTTTAAGAAAGCCACAAAATATGGATGATTGTATTATGGATCTATGAAGAGAAATGTAATAAATCCTGTCTCAAAGGAGGTATTTTTAGATGGAGAGGAGGACAGCTTCCTGTTCCACAAAGTGGAGGAAGCAGCATGTGGTGATGCAATCCTGCCTCTAACATTATCCACGAAGGTGGGCTCTCCGAAGGTGGCAGGAAGTTTGAAGCTGATGACCACAGGCTAACTGGCTGGGCCTGGCAAGATGAGCACCAGACACGGGCATGCGGGGCGCCTGGATACATGGAAAGTGACCTACATGTAGTAAATCTGGGGAAGGAAATGTGAGGCAACAACCTAGGTTATTTAAGGAACTGCATAATTTACCATTTAGTTTAAAAAACTTTACCTTTACCAACAAATAAGACTTCCTTGTTATGCTCTTGTCATACAAACACTCCTAAGGAACATCAGAATGATTAACTCTGGAAGTGAACCAAAGGGACTGAATTTCCAGTTGGTAAACAGTATATCCAAGAGTAAAAAAGAAAATTAAAGAAATGGAAAACAGGAAGATGTATGGGGAAATGAAAATAAGAGAGATACTCAATTAGATGATCCATGTTCTTTCTACAAGTTCATTTATATCTCTATACACTACTGTTTATATTTCAGAGTGAAAAATATTTCTTGGTTCATTTGAAAAACTAAGAAACAACATATAAAGGAGGAAATTTGAAACAGCAAATAGCGATAACAGTTATGCAACTGCTTGAGCAATTTTAATGTTTGGATCTTGAAAAAAGTCAGTACTAGTATGAGCATGATTTAAATGGCAGAACATGTGTGAAAGTGTATTAGGTTGTTTCAAAGTGAGACACTGACACACTTCTTATAATGTGCACTGTAAGAACTTGTTTCCAATTTGTTTTCAATGTATGTGATTCTAAGAAAATTGCCATTTAAAATAATACTTACCAGGTAAAATATTTAAATAGTTTCTATCAGCATTTTTAGTCTTGTCATCACTTCCTCCGTTTTGGTTTCCGAAATCTATTGATAAGATAATGCAACATGAAAGAATACAACAACATATGATAACACATTGCTACTACTGCCACTCCTCCCCAACAATCACAACAGCAAAAATGTACTAAGACTCTCTAGGTGCCTTGTATGCTGAAATATGTTTTACGTGGATGGTCTCATTTAATTCTTATAAAACCCCTATAACCACAACCTGAGGAGGTAAGTATCATTACTATTTTCATTTTATACATGAGGAAATAGAGGCTTACCTGGGTTAGTGAACCTAACTAAGGATGTACAGTAAGTGGTAGAACGAGGTCTTGAACCCACACACTCAGATCCCGAATCCTATGGCCTTAACCACACAACACTTGCCAATACCCTATTTTTCATCTGGGAGGTCCAGGGCATTAAGTTAACTACATATAAAATAACTTCAGATACTGGTAGTGTGACCATCTTTATTTTTAGAACCTGAGTCACTGTTGTTGATATAACTTGTTCAGGACTACAAGCAAATAGTTAGCAGCACAAGGAATCACTTGATATTCAGTCCATTCCTGAAATGTATTACTTCTTAATATGACACTATATACAATTCATTTCAAACAGATATGTGAGGCCTGGTATCAAATGCAACATTTTTTTTTCAGATATTCAAATGTTTTTCTTTTTTTCTTTTTAGAAGGATACCTATTCAGAAGGATGAATATTGGTAAAGTAAGATACATCACAATTTTCCATATATTATTATAGTTACATTATTTTTCACACATATATACATTTTTAATGGAAGATACAACTTAATTTTATAATAATTCTGTCATAAATGCAGAATAAGTATTAGCACTCAAAGCAGCTATCTTTAAGAGGCTGCATATTTACTCCAACTACATACAAAACTATTTTGGAATGGTCTTTAGCATCAAAAAATCACTTGAAAACAGCCAGAACTTCAAATGAGTTAGCTGAGAATACTAACAGAATATCATGGTTTCAAAAATGTTCTGAATAAAAGTAACTTGATATTTTTACTGAATGACTACTTTGAATAAATGATTCCTAAACATTGTACTTTGTAAACACATATTTTATAGACAGGAAGAGACAGACACACAGAGAAGGTTCTGCATTGCTAGAATCTATATTCAATAATACTCTGTTTCTGATACAGAGCCATGTAACTGATAGGCTTTGAATAAATGTCTGATCATGGCACAGACAACAAAAAACAATAAATAATGACTCTAATTTTGTTCACATGGAATATGAACAAACAGAATCCCTATTAAGTAAACAAGAGAGAGCAGTTCATAGTCCATTCCCCTTTCCATTTTTTAATGATAATACTTTGTAATAGTAAGAAGATGGCTGTTTTTCATTTCCAAAAAATGTATATAGTGTGCCCCCAAATCTAAGTTGCTTTTGGCTTGCTATCATGGACTGCAGAAATATAATAACAGTATAATAAACACAGGAAGGAAAACAATGAAATGTTACAGAATAAGCAGGTACTTGTGTATCAGGATGTAAACGCGTAGAACAAATGCACGCACAGAAAAGGAAAAGAGGGAGGAACTATTTTCACAAAACTCTCCTGTAACAACATGTGGGCTCCTTTATGAAAGTTGTCTTTTAGAAACCTGCTTGTTTCACTGACTCACTTAAACCACAAAATAGTTGCTTGAACAAGAACAAAATAATAGCATGATGTACACACACTGCCTTAACCGTGTGTGGTTTAAAAACTTCCTGTCATTTGCTGCACACTTTCTATCTCTCATAAATATACTTAGAATCCTCCTCCTTTTCCCACACCTGTCATGATCTCAATCTTCATGCATTTAGTCACTACTAAGAATAATATTAAAATGTCTCTGATCATATCATTGGTAGTTTGAGATGGAGAAAGAAGATGGTAGAAGAATTGACAGGATATGCTAGAATTTCCTGAAAGGTCCTTTGTTAGGATATAGTTTCATACTAATTTCCTAACAGTTACCAGGTCTCTACCATGTATAACCCGAATTGCCACAGCAAAGCCACGTTACCTGTGGTGGGAATACAAACTGGTAGAGCCGCTGTGGAGAGCAGTTGTTAATGCTATTAAAATTATAAATGTATGTGCTCTTTAACCCCAGGAATTTCTTCAAGGAATGCAATCTATAGATATGCTTACACATGCACAGTGATACATGTGCAAGGTTACTCATTCAGTATTACCTACAATAACAAAAACGTGGGAACAGATTAAATGCCTATCAATAGGGAACTGACTAATAATGGGATATCCTGCAGTGTTCTATGCAGCAGTAAAAAGGTATGACACTGCCCCTTATGCACTGATATAAAATGATGTCCAAGATAAATTATTCAGTGAAAAAAGTGGGCAGAAATCATTCAGAAAAGTAGGCAGAGAAAGCTGCCATCTTTGTAAAACAGGAAAATAAATAAATACACCCCTACACATGCTCACTTTTGTGTATAAATGGGAGGTACGAGTGAGATAGCACTGGCTGCCTCTGGAGTGGGAAACTGGATGGCTGGTGGGCAAAGTGAGGAAGGCTGCCCTCTATGCTCCTTTGCACAGTTTGAATTGTGAATCCTGAGATGGTTTCACCTATTTAAAAAATGATTAAAAAAATAAATAACACAGTCTTAAAAAATCTATTGAATAAATATGGGAATTATAGTGAATGCTAATTAAGTAAAGTTTAGATAGCTATATTCTAACATCAGGAGAAAAGGGAGAATCCCATGACTTACAAGGGAGGGAGGAAAGACAGCAAGCAAAGAGCTAATAATATCTCTTTGTTTACTACAAAATACAAAACACAGGAACCAAAAATACTATAATTGTTTCTTTTAAATACTGCAGTTATAAAACAAATGAACAAACAAGACATCCAAAGTATCAGAAGCTGACTTAAAGGTTTAACCAGCTACAGTTAAAAGACTTGCCATATTTTATTTCCTAGGCAACATACCAAGTTTTTGTAAGAAATGAGGAATAAAATGCCTAGGATTAAACTTAACCAAGGAGGTGAAAGACCTATCCCCTGAAAACTACAAGACACTCAGAGAAATTAAAGACACCAATAAATGGAAATACATACCATGTTTATGGGTAGGAAGAATTAATATTGTGAAAATGGTCATCCCACCTAAAGCAATTTACAGATTCAATCCCTTTCAAAATACCAACAACATTCTTCAATGAACTAGAACAAATAGTTCTAAAATTCATATGGCACCACAGAGGACCCTGAATAGCCAAAGCAATCCTGAGACGAAAGAATAAAGCTAGGGGGATTACACTCCCTAACATCAAACTCTACTGCAAAGCTACAGTGATCAAAACGATTTGGTACTGGCGTAAGAACAGACCCACAGATCAATGGAACAGAATAGAGAGCCCAAATATAAATCTATACATATATATGGCCAATAAATATATGAGAAAGGAGCCATGGATACAATGGAGAAATGACAGCCACTTCAACAACTGGTATTGGCAAAACTGGACAGCTACATGTAAGAGAATGAAACTGGATTATTGTCTAACTCCATAGACAAAAGTAAACTTGAAATGGATCAAAGACCTGAATATAAGTCATGAAACCATAAAACTCATAGGAAAAACAGGCAAAAATCTCTTGAATATAAACATGAGCAACTTTTTCCTGAATGCATCTCCTTGGGCAAGGGAAACAAAAGTAAAAATGAACAAATGGGACAACATCAAAATAAAAAGCTTCTGTACAGAAAAGGATACCATCAGTAGAACAAAAAAGCATCCTACAGTATGGGAGAATATATTTGTAAATTACATATCGAACAAGGGGTTAACATCCAAAATATATAAGGACTCATACACCTCAACACCCAAAAAGCAAATAACCTGATTAACAAATGGGCAGAGGATATGAACAGACAATTCTCCAAAGAAGAAATTCAAATGGCCACCAGGCATATGAAAAGATGCTTCACATTGCTAATTATCAAGGAAATGCAAATTAAAACCATAATGAGATTATCACCTCACACCAGTTAGGATGGCCAGCATCGAAAAGACTGGGAACAAATGCTGGCGAGGATGTGGAGAAAGGGGAACCCTCTTACACTGCTGGTGGGAATGTAAATTAGTTCAATAATTGTGGAAAGCAGTGTGGAGGTTCCTCAAAAAACTAAAAATAGAAATACCATTTGACCCAGGAATTTCATTCCTAGGAATTCACCCAAAGAAAACAAGTTCTCAGATTCAAATAGCCATATGCACCCCTATGCATATCGCAGCACTATTTACAATAGCCAAGGTATGGAAGCAACCTAAGTGTCCATCAGTAGATGAATGGATAAAGAAGATGTGGTACATATACACAATGGAATGTTATTCAGCTATAAGAGGAAAACAAATCCTACCATCTGCAACAACATTCATTTTTCAATTAAGAAAGCAGAATTACTCTGTAATTTGAGAGGTTTTTCTTTTACCCATGTCTTCCCTTAAGTCTCTCTCTGCATAAATAAAAATCTTTTGAGGAAAAATGACATGAACTTTTCCATAGCTTTAAAATAATTTTCTAGTCAATTTCCTAAATAGTTAGAAAAGATGTTTATGTTGTGTGTAAATACAGAGAAAAAGCAGGACAGTTTTGGACATGGTAGTTTTTAAACAACAATCCAAACAATTTTTGTGACTGATTTCATGCTGAGTGGATCAAAAATGGAACTTATAAAACATGCATTTTGTGCAATATTTACTCCATGATTTCAATGTGCTTTGTAGTAATAATTATGCCCATTTTAGGGACAGAGAATTGGATCAAATATCACCAACTTTCCAGCGAGTGCCTAGTTTAACTAAAGAATTGAAATTTAAATGCAGTTTTTGCCAAGGATCTGGAACAATATCATGCAAAAGAAGGAAATTAAGAACAGGATTCAAGCTTCTAAATATCCTGAGTTTTGTTCTTACATTTTTCTTCTACCTTTCCACCAATACAACTTTCTATATTTAATGATGCTATTAGAATGCTAAGGGACAGAACATACTGAAAGTGACATTTTAAAAAATGTGAGTTTTACTGACCATGTGATTCTTTCAACTTACTCCTGCGTTGGGTTCTTGCATAAAGTACCACCTGCTGGACGACTTCCAGTTGCTCTTCAATTCGTGGAAAGTGGAAGTCAGTGCATTCTTGGCAAACTGTGGCAAAATCTAAGGGACCCAAAACATTTACAAACTTATAAAAGAGAACTATCAAATATTTAGTATTTGCTTACAGACATTAGATCTAGTAGAAATAGAATATAAAACCCGTATGATTTCTTGTATTTTTCCTTTCAATAATTATATCTTATTAAATTAGGGCACAATTTTCTTTTAATCAGAAAATCTCTCAATCACTCAAAATAGTAGGTATTAACAGACAAGGAAATTTAAAAATAATAAATATATGATACAACATAATATAATTCTAAGCCTTCTTGATAAAACAGATACTTTGATCATAATCTGGTCCCATCAAAAACTATGGAAAAAATACAAGAAGCTTCTTACATTTATGGTAGGAAATCATTCAAGCTTCTTTTAAAAACAGCTATATGTTTCAATATACTTTATATCATTAGAATTTTTTAAATAATCAAAAAAAGTGAGTTATACTAAGAGGGAAGACAGAATTTTACCTGGCACATTTAAAAATAGGTTATTCAAAAAAAAAAAAGGACAAATGGATGAACTAAAATTCACTGAGACATGATCTACTTCTACACTGAAAAATACATTTATATCTTTATTATTCTTCTTGTTATACCTTGAAATAAGGATTCTGTAGAAGTATTATTTATAATATAATAGAATTTTAAATATCCTGAAGCACTCTATCCATGCTAAAGTATGAAACAAATCTAAAATAGCGGTGGTTGGGTGCGTATGTTGTTTAGTCTACTTGAATCTTGAGTAAATAAACATTTTTTTCAGTTTTTCCATAATTCCTTTCTTGGTAAGAATAAAGGAGAAATCTAATGAAATAAATATGTATAAACATTCACTTACCTCTTTTTTTTTTTTTTTTTTT